GTTTAGGAGAGAGCTTTGCTCTGGACATCCATCTTCTCATTTCTCTCCTGTCTCTGTGGGAACAGCTGCAGTAGGACTAAAACCCCAAACTGAGCCCAAGCAGGATCTCTCCTTAATTAGGCCTTGAGGTATCCTGATGAAACTCAGGATGATAAAATTGATAAACAGTGTTCCTGTCTGAGGCTGGGATGAAGGTAAATTGGGCCTCAGTCTCCAGCAGCTGATGCATTCACACTTTTAGACATGAAGACCAGGCCAGCGTGTCCTGCTCTGACAGACACCGCTGCCCTCCTTGCCTTCCTTTGGGCACTTGAGAAGGACCAAGTCTGTCCCAGCTGTGCTCTGCAGGCTGACCCTGCTCTGCCTTCAGAGGAGCAGCCTGTGCAGGAAAGCTCTGCTGGGCCCCACAGCTCCAGCCACAGCTCCCAGCAGAGGGGAAAGCCCTCGAGAGCTGCCAGACGTGCTGGGCGTGTTGACACTGACCTCTCCTCCCGTGGCCCTGTCGAGTCCTTTGGAAACGGTTCCAAAAGCCCTGGAGACAAAACAGCAGAGAAGAAAGAAGCAGCGCTTTAGGCCCTGGCAGTGAAAGCCAGCCCAGACAGGAGATCTCTGCTGCCTGCAGCGTTCACAAAACACCCGAGTGCATCCACCCTTCAAACAACAGCACAGCAGCCACCAGCCCTCTGCCATGCAAGGTGCCTTCTGACCACAGTTATCAATTCTGATCAGCCCTGAGAGGCAGCAGCATCGTACCCCAGTGTCTGAAGGGGTTTGGAGCTCTCCTGACTTCTCACTGGATCCTGCACCAGCAAAATACCTGGGCCCTGCTTGTGCAGAAGTAACTGCCTTGCGCTTACCCTTGGCCAATCTGCTCCAGTTCCAGGTATTTCTCGGCAGGCTCCCCCACGCTCATGGTGTTCCCTGAAAGAAACCAGGTGGAAGATGCTCCCTCTCAGATGAGAGCCAGAATGCAGCCCCACTCCCTGAGGCCGGGAGCCCCTTGCTCTCAGCTGGGGAAGGACAATAAATGACCCTGTGCCATTCAGCTGCAGAGCAACACTGGGTGCAGCTGATTCTGAGACACACACACACACACCCTGCTCTGGCACACAGGAACAGAGCAGACGTACTCAGCTGCATCAGGCTCCACTCCCCGCTCCCCTCTGGCTGCAGGGCTGTGCTGCTGTCAGAATGTTCAGCCCAGGATCCTGCAGCACAGGGAGCTTCAGTGTCCTCTTCAGGAGCAGAGGGAGGTTCCTCATCCTCTTCCCAAAGCAGTGCAGGTTCCCTCTCCTCTTCCCAAAGCACTACAGGTTCCTTGTCCTCTTTCCAAAATGCTGAAGGTTCTCTGTCCTCTTCCCAAAATGCTGCTGGTTCACCCTCCTCTTCCCAAGACACAGGATGTCCTCTGTCCTCATCCCACACTGGGATTTTGCCGTCATCCTCGTCCCATGCCATGGGAGCTTGGCCATTCTCATCCCACACCAGGGGACATCCACCGTCCTCGTCCCCCACCAGGAGATGTCCACTGTCCTTGTCACACACCGCGGGAGCCTCGCCATTGTATTCCCAAACCGCGGGGTGTTCGCCCTCGTCTCCCAGAACAGCGGGAAGTTCACTGCTCTCTTCCTCCTCTTTGGCCTCCTCTTTGCAAGCAGAGGGAGCCAGAGGAGGTGAGCAGAGGGAGCCAGAGGAGGTGCTGATGCTGCTTTGGTGCCCTGTGGACAGACGGGAGCGTGAGGGATGGGAAGTTCTATCTCAGTTATCACCTTCTTTATCCTCAGCTACACATCCAGCTGCACTAAGCAGAAATAGGGTTCAGAGCTGTTCAAACTAACAATGGGCTAAAGACAACACTGCCACTTATTGTTGGGAATTCCATATTCCAGCATGGCTAAAGCCAGCAAGCAATCTTCTGCCTGCAAAACCAGTCCTGCAGCTCTTCAAAAGCTCTTCAGCAGAAACAGAGAAAACTGCCAGGGATCTCTTTGCTGCTGCTGCTGCTGCAAAGACACTGACAGGAACTTCCCTTCAGCCTCCCAGGCTGGCACTCGGCTGCCACACGCCGAGCTCACAACTTGCTGCACAATTCTGAACACCAAAGCTTCCTTTGCCACTCACCGAAGGAGGAGCTGCTCGGGATCCACGCGTGAGGTGCCCTGCAACGGGAGAGGGAACGTGAACCAGATGTTGTTAGGAAAAAACTGCCTGTGGTGGGAAATGAGCAAGGCAAGCCCGAGAGAGCATTTTGCTTTCACAGCATCCCTCCAGGAGCCACAGGCCCTTCACACAGCAAGCAAGAGAGCAGCACAAAATACTGGGCTGGGTAAAAACGCTTGTTTGCGGTGAGAGACTTCTCCAGGGTCAAGCTGTTCAAGTATAAGCAATTTATTATAAGGGTAAATAGATGGGAGACCCGTGTCCACCACCAGCCTCAGCATCCACGTGGTCAGTGGCAGGAGGGAGAGCCTGCAGAGCAGGAGAAGTGAGGTTGGGAAAGGGGAGGGAGGGGGGAAGAGAGCAACAGAGGGGAAGAGGGAAAAACCAGAGGGAGAGAGCAGGGAAGATGAGAAGGGTAGGAGCAGGGAGAGGGAGCTGAGAGTTAAGAGTGGGGGAGAGGGGTAAAGGGGTAAGAGGTAAGGGAGAGGGGTTCAGAGGTAGGTGAGAAAAGTTAAGAGAGCTAAGAGGTAAGAGTTAAGAGAGCGAAGTTCTTGTTACAATCCAATATATCTTTTTCTATAGTGAATATTCTAATTCTTAGTAACCAATCACCATGAGACACACCCACTAAAGAATTTACATCCAGCCTATGTGCTTCCCTATATTAACATACAGTGTTGCATTTTAGGCTCTACAAGCTTTCCAAGTTCTTTCCTTGCTTTTTGACCTTTGAACTTTCTATCAGCAGAAGGACATTGTTTTATCAACAGGGATTCTCCTTTAGCTGGCTAGGCTATAGTTCTTTGGTTAACCAGTACTCAGTATCCTTGGACTCAAAGCAGGCTTTCATTTCTACTTTGATTCTAGCCTTCATATTTTCAGAATCTTCTGCCAAACAATCACATTCATAAGGTTTCCCTGTTTCACCCTCCCCAACACAGCACAAAATACTGGGCTGTGTCAGCTCTTGGCTGGAGCAGCAAACGGAGGGAGTTCCAGGCTCTGCTGCCACAGACTCCCCACTTGAGGGAACAGAACCCCCCAGGCCTCATTGCAAATGCTGTGCACGCCCCGCTGGCTGCAGACACCCCCTTTTTCAGCTGCAGCTGCTGGCAGGAGCTCTCCCAAACCAAC